CCAGAGCCCTTTCTATAACCCCATGTTGCTTCCTAAAGAGGTTGGGAAAATCCAAACCTTCTTGGAAGTCTGTCAAACAGCACAATTAAGACAACAAAAACCACAGCCCCAGGAAGAGGTTTATACTTTGTGGTAGGAGTGGGCTTATGGTTTCACAATAGTTGATCAGTAGCTCCCCTTATAACTCAACCCCGCCAAAGACCTTGTATGCATTGGATAGTCATCCTTTTTAGATTTTGGTTTAAAATAGTCCCAATTCATCTTGAAAGGCAAATTCATGAGAAGTAGTGAAGTCTTATCAGTGTTCTATGATTGCACTAATCACCAACTGGAGGCTCTGACTTTGCTCCATTAGAGAAGCTGGTGCTAAGAAGGGGGTGTGGCTACAATGACTGAAAGGTTTTGAGTGAGTGGCCAAGTCCCTGTGCCAATCAGAACGCTGTCCTTGAAGTTACTGCCGGCTCCCCTGCCTGTTGTTTGATTCTCCCAACACACTTAATAAGGCACAGATGTTGGCAGTCCTTATTGATGCCCAAAGGAGATGGTTCTTTGTTGGACAGTGTTTTCCTGTCCTGTGGGTCTAGGAAATAAGACCATTCTTTTGTTCTGAGAGGCAAGATTCTCTTAACCAATGAGTGAAAATTAAGGAGAGATGAACAGTGACCACCACCAGTAGAATCTTTGCCTTCCTTCTAATGAAGCCTGGACAGGCTCCTCTATTCCTATCACATGCCTGCAGCATGAAAAACAAACAGCAGGGTTTTGTATCTGTTCTTTGCTATTCCATTACTTTGAGAATGAACTCTGAGGACATTAAAATCATTTATGTTCTCTAAGTAAATAAAAAGGCATGAATTTCATATTCAGCAAATGTGTATCTAAATCTAGAAGCAATGAGAATCACGTAGTTAATAAAAAATGATCAAATAAAGAAATCCTACTTTTTTTAATACAAGAACCGGGGTACAGGCCAGATGCGCAGGAGGGTAAGAGGATTCATCAGAGACAGAGAGGGGAACAGAACAGGCAGACTAATGAAATGTACTGCCGAGGGGAGCAGCAGGCGTGACAGGAGAGGTCTCCATGCCATGTTGGATTCTTGCCAGCTAGGTGGTAACTACATTAAATAAATAACAGAACAGAAAAAAATCAGATGCATCTGCTTTTGAAATTTTCTTTCAGTTTTTCAGGAGTGTGTGTATTTGTTTGTATGTGTTGGGTCCTATATGTGTTGAAATTGTTCAAACAAATTGAAAATTCCAAGGGATGTATTATTTTACCACATTTTTATTATGAATTTTAACTCTATGGTAATTTCAAAAACAATTCAGTGGAACCTCTTTTTAAAGGGAAAATTTATTTAAATAAATTACTACTTTTAATTGTTAATTTTATTCCTCAAGAATAAGTATCAAAATTTATTATAGTCGTGAGAACAAGTATAATCTTGGTGAACAATCATAAAATGCGAAATAAGTGGCAAAACTAAAAGAGGCAAGTTTTTTCAGAGGCTATAATTATCTACTTCAAGATTTATGGATAAGTAAATGATCATTTTTATCTTTGCATCTTTCTTTCATAGTCATTCATCACAAATGAAATTCATTTACTTAGCAAAAGGCATATACTGATCTGTAGGGCTTCACTGGCTGGGACAAAAGAGACATAAACAAAAGGACAAGCTGCAGAATTAACAGGAAGTCAGGCTTTGTCTTGAGCTTTTCCAGACCCACCAAGGCTGTGCGTGAGCAGCAGGCACTGGGATGCGGCATAGATTAATATGGCGTAAAGAAATATCACGAGGAAGGTTGGAGTGACTTCCAAATACCTTTGATTCATCTATTGTTTTCAGCACACCTCATTTAAAGATGAGCCTCTCAAAATATGGGCTAGTTACAATAGGAGAGAGTTCATTTACTGGGTGGACCTGGCAGTTTAAAAAGGTGAAACAGAAGAGAAAATATCAGTGTACATTCCAGATGCAATATGAAAGTGTTCTTTCTGTGTGGCATGCACATGCTTGTACACACATGTGCCTGTGTTCTAGCGTGTGAATGCACACATGTGAACGTGTATGCTGAGTTTTCATGTACAATGCCTTTCTTACTATGAACCACAGTCCAAAAAGTCTGAAACTACTACTCCACTGGTGAAGGGCAAGGAAATAGGAGGCGGACATCTAGCTCCGGCGCTGGGCCCTACGCTTCTGATATGGCCTCAGAGAAAAGTTAAGAGAAGGCTGTGGGGAAAGGTTTAGTTCTGGTCTTACCCACAGAGCTGGGGAATGCCTGAAATAAGAGCTATTAAATTTCTAGACAGCATATCACTTACATCCTTTCATTACATACATGAAGTTACATCACCTTTTGTAATAGTCACTGTTGCCACCCCCTCATTTTACAGTTGGGAGGAAACAGGCAGAGTCTTAAACCTGTGCCCAGTGCTGCCTGTATCCTGCTGCAGTGGATTTTCCTGGTCGTGCTGTCCTCAGGGCATCTAACCTTCCTGGGGGACTTAAGTGGCTCTGGGAGGTTTGACTGCAATGTTACTTTCTTTAAGAAAGAAATTTACATCCCTGGCAGTGCCCCTGACTGTCCAAGTCATGCTGAAGAATTGTCAGCTTTGTGCCTGGAGCTGTTTTCAACATTTTATACCATCCTTTCCTGTGACATAGTATTTATCCTTCTTGTGAGTAATGTAAATACTTCATCTATTTTAGTCTGTTTAAAAAAGAGCTTCGTTAAGAAAACTTAACACTTACTTAAATAAGGGACCAGGAAAACGAATAACTATAAGAAAGTGAAAAGCAAAATCAACAAAAAACTACGAACCAGAGACACTTTTAGGGGGGCGGGGGTGGGAGGGGAGGGATTGGGGTCAGAATGGGGGGCTGCAATTGTATGGGGAATATAAAAATAAAATTTATTATTAAAAAATAAATAAATAAATAAATAAAAAAAAAGAAAACTTAACACTTGATCTCACTGATAAGTATAATATTAGGTTTGAAATGATTCTTTAGACTGTGTTTACCGAGGAGTAAAATAACTTGTGAGGGAACTGAATCAGTAAGGAAATGAACACCTGGACACTAGCGTTATTTTCTTAAGTAAAGGTCAGCCCTACCCGTCATCATCATGATTGGCTTATTTTTCCTGGCAGGCAGTTCCACGCCACAACCAGGACTACAGCTATTTGCAATTTATAAAGTGTTTCTGCAGACACCAGCTCATATAATTCTCACAACAATGCAGCACTTTGAGCATTATCCCCATTTTGAAGTGAAGCCAATAGGTTCAGAAGTTCAAGATTTTTTAAGTGAGTCAGAACTGAAGTCTTCTGCCCTGGTGTTGTGTTTCTTTCTTTTCTATCCATAATTTGTTTCTCTTTTTTTGATTGCAAAATTAATACACACTCATTATTTGAAAACAGAAGTGCTAAGAAGAAAAAAAGCTACCTGTATTCTCTTCTTAGATAACCCTTTTAACATTTTTGGTTATTTTCTACTGTTTGGGATATTTTTCTTTACTTTTCCTTTGATGAAAAGAGAATGTCCTCAGAGAGCTCATGGAGAGATGGCCGAAGCAGCAACCTCCTTAGTGGAGGAGTGTTCCCCATCAAAGCTCCTCACTGCTGATAAAAGCCAGCCACCATCCTGGCCCTCCTAGTCTTCCTTTTCTTGAAAATACTTCAAAGCTTCTTGTGGCTGTGGTGGGGGGCCCAGGGGGAAAGGCTTGTGGAGCCAGACCCAAAAGTTCTTGGACATTATAGATTCAGATGGAGGTAAAAAGTGGTTTTCTAACTAAAAGTACCTAACACAGAGAAGGCAGTGGGAGAGAGGATGAGAAATACTGGGGGGCAGTGTCTCCCAAGGCACTCCCTCCGGTCTAGTGTGTAGTATAGTCAGGGCTTGAGCCCAGAGTTCCAGTATCTGTTTCCTTTTTTTTTTTTTTTTTTTTTTTTTTAAGATTTATTTATTTTATGCACACAAGAGCTGGGGTACAGGCCAGAAATGCGGGGAGTGAGAGGATTCACCAGAGACAGAGTGGGGAACAGAACAGGCAGATCAACTGAAATACACTGCTGAGGGGAGCAGTGGGCCAGATAGGAGAGGTCTGCTGCACCTGTGGTTAGCTTGCTGGCTGGGAATCAAACTCGTACTTCATTGGCTATGGATAGCTCCACAGGTTGTTTCTTAACCCTTGTGCCACCAGGGAGGCCCACCTTTTTTTAAAAAAAAAATTATTTATTTATGTATATAAGAACTGGGGCCACAGGTGCGGGGGTGGGGGGTGGGGTTGAGAGGATTCACCAGAGTGGGAGCAGAACAGGCAGATTGACTGAAATACACTGCTGAGGGGAGCATTGGGCGAGACAGGAGAGGTCTGCTGCGCCATGTGGGTAGCTCCCTGGTCAGGGATCAAACTCATGCTGCAGTGGCTGTGGGTAGCTCCATAGTGCCTCGTCTTAACCCCTTGCACCACCAGGAAGGCCCCAGTTACTGTTTCCTTTGAACCTACATATCAGATCCTGTCACCTTGACGTGTGAGGGTCTTATCTATATTATTTTGGTTATGCTTAAAATTTTTATATAAGATGTTGCTTTTTGGTGTAAACTGACTGTTGGGGGCTCAGCAATCTTTTTGTTTTATATATATTTGCATATATATTGTATATATTTGCATATATATTATGTATTTGCATATATATTTGTTTTATATATTTGCATATATATTATACATGTTATATAAAGATATTGTAATATGCCTAAATTAATGTAATTTAGGTCATTGTGAAGCAATCAATTATTCTGGTAATGCTCTAGAATCTTTCCTTGAGAAAGATTCACACATGTTAACATTCAATATGTATTACATGACTATTACACATTATGTAATATAATTCATACTATAGGTTAAAAAAGCAGCAAAAATAATAAGCTACAAAGACAAAAGTTATCTAGACATCCTGGCCCACATCATTTTTGGGGAAATAATTACCTGTATAAAGAAATGTGTTGGAGTGGCCTCCCACCACGACGTCCACTCCCTTCACTTTCTGAGCGATGAGTTTATCCATCTCAAAGCCAGAGTGTCCCAGTGCAATTATTTTGTTCACACCTAGAGTTGTTAGTTTATCAACTTCAGGTTGTAAGGCAGCAATTTCTTCTTCAAATACTAAATCTCTTCCTGTGGAGCAAAATAAATAAAATGGACATTATTTGGCAGTAATTTTTATTATATTACTTATTATACACACTGATATGCCAGTAAAAGACACCTTCATATATTGAGGCTCTTCACTTACTTAGACTAACACATATTTATAAATCACATATGAAATCCCTAGAAAGCCAAAAAAATTTCCATCAATAGCCTCAGTTACAATCACTCAGTGTTACATTAGTTTAGGATTGTGAATGATAGTATGTTGCTCAAATTCCATGTAAAATTATGAGGAGGTTTCAGACCTGGAAATCTATTTTTTAATGTGTTTTATATTTAGATTTCTGTTATGCCAATGCAGAAAATGAGCACACAAGTGTGATAACTATATGTATGCCAAGTCATAATGCTATATGTACACCTTTAACCTACACAGCATTGTATGTCAAATATATTGGTACGTATTATACATGTATACCCTAACTCTTCAGCCATGAATTCAGCAGCCCCTGAAATCAAGTCCTCACCCAACTTTCCAGCTTTCCCTACTCCGAAACTTTGTTCTAGGAAACTACACCTTCAGCTACCTTGTGACTGTGGTCCCTGCGCACTCCTGCTCTCACCATTCATCCCAGCAACATTCACTGAGAACTTCCCAACTGCTGCTCCCCTGCCCCCGCCACCTGTGTCTGTTCTACTGAAGGCCCTTGGCCCTGGGGTTCTTGACAGGACCCTCCAGGGGTCAAGGAGGTCTTTGCTCAAGTCTGTCTGCCCCCACCCCAAGGCAACCATCACTTTACCCAAGCCCCCTTCCTCTCTCCCTCCGACTTCACAACTCTCTTGTGGTATTTAATTACATTCTATCTTAAGTGAACTACAAAAAAACAGTGGACAGAATATAAATTATGGAGACATAGTTTGCTTTCGAGTTTGCTGCCTAATAAATATTTATTTAGTTTTTCAACAAGTCTACATCTTTATCTGAAATTCCCAGCTGACCTCTATGTTACATTCCAGATGTTCATTGAGAGGAGACACAGGTTCTGTACTCTGGTTGCTCAGGCCGCTGCTGACAGGTAGAGACTAAGGTGTTTTCTGGTGTTATCGGTACTCAGACTAGGAGCATCTGACCAGGTGGCCACTGTAGCAAGAGGCCACTCATCCCAACCCTACTCACTGGGAGCATTTGGTTTGTTAGAAGTGAGGCAGCTTGCTTTGGTGGTGGTGTGGTGTAGTAACATATATCTGAGGAGGTGTGACTCTGACTCACATACAGTGCTGTAATCAATGTGGTCTCAGTAAGAAAGAAAACAAAGAAAAAAAGGCATCAGGCAGTCTGGCTCCCTCTGTAATCTCAGCCCTATCCTCTTTGCAGAAGCCCACTCTCCCCCCCACCCCTCACCCCCGAGTCCTCAGGTCGAAGCCTGCCAAAGTCACTCTGGTGGGATCACATCCTTTTTTTTTTTTTTTAAAGATCCATTTATTTATTTATACAAGCACTGGGTACAGTCAGAAGCGCAGGAAGGTGAGAGAATTCACCAGAGCCAGAGCGGGGAACAGAGCAGGCAGAAGGACCGAAGTACACTGCTGAGGGGAGCAGCGGGAGGCAGGAGAGGTCTGCACGCCATGTGGGACCCTCCTTTGGTGGCCGGGTTGCAGCCGGGGATTGAACCGGCGCCGCAGAGGCTTCGGGCAGCTTCGCAACCCAGCGCTCAACCGCTGCGCCACTGGGGAGGCCCGGGATCACATCCTTTTAGTCAGAGGAACACCTTTAAGACACTTAAAAAATAGGTGACACTTGACATCCACAATGGCGCTCTGGCTCCCCCATGACCTCAACAGTAACAGCTATTGACCATATGTCCACAGTGTGCAAAGGCCTGGTCACCGTGGGGCAGATGTCCACCCCCTGGGAGGGCCAGATAATCTCAGTCCCAACAGTAGGGAGCAGGAGAGCCTTGTCTGTTCTGTGGCTGAGTGGCCGCAAGGCCCTCTCCCCTCAGAGCCCAGCAGCTGCTTGGGTTGAGGGCACCTGACCTTCTGATGTTGCTTTGAATGGCCTGCATCTGTTAAAAACAATAAATAATATATTATGTATTTGTATGCTAAATTAAAAATATCTTCAATGTATTATATTATATTAAATGTTATATTTTATTATGTTATATTATATTTTATTATATTAAATGTTATAGTCTATTATATTATATATTATATTTATTATATAATATATGATATCATATTATTATATTATATTAAGTGTTATTATATTATATTAAATGTATATTAATTTATATATCATATATTATTTTTCTAATTGTTAAATAGCAGCATGTCCTATGTTAATTCTGTTTTTAAATTGAAGCATCATTTTTTCATTCTTTTTTTTTAAGATTTATTTTATTTATTTATGTATACAAGAGTTGGGGTGCAAGCCAGAGGTGCAGTGAGTGGGGGAGGGAGGGGAGTGAGAGGATTCACCAGAGACAGAGTGGGGAGCAGAACAGGCAGACTGACTGAAATACACTGCTAAGGGGAGCAGTGGGCAAGTCAAGAGAGGTCTGCTGTGCCATGTGGTTATCTGGCCAGGGCCTGCCCATAGCTTCATGGTGCTGAGACTTAACCCCTTGTGCCACCAGGGAGCCTCCTTTTTTTCATTCTTGTCAGTGTTTTGACAGTATAGGATGTCCCCCTCAGGTGTGATTGCCGACGCACTCCCACCAGGGAAGCAGCCACAGTCTTGCACCAAGTCCCTTGTGCTCTGCCCTCCCCCTCAAACCTCTGGATGCCTCAGATCTATGGTCAGCTTTCAAGGGTTGGTTTTAAAGTTTGTCTTTGACCCTTTGTTTGGTTTCTCTGTATTCCACATATAAACAACACCATCCTGTATTTATCTTTCTCTTTCTGGCTAATGCTTGCTCCTGGTTTCCCAATTTCCTTTTTTTTTTTTTTTTTAAGGGAGATAAATTCTTTTTTTTTTTTTTAAGATTTATTTTTATTTATTTATACAAGCACTGGGTACAGTCAGAAGCACGGGAGGGTGAGAGAATTCACCAGAGCCAGAGCAGGGAGCAGAGCAGGCAGAAGGACTGAAGTATACTGCTGAGGGGAGCAGCGGGCAGCAGGAGAGGTCTGCATGCCATGCGGGACCCTCCTCCGGTGGCCAGGGAGCAGCCGGGGATCGAACCGGTGCTGCAGAGGCTGCGGGCAGCTTTGCAACGCAGCGCTCAACCGCTGCACCACCGGGGAGGTCCTCCCAATTTCCTTTAAATAAGGAAAGAAAATTTGTTTCGATAATTTAAAGAAAATGCCATTTTGTTTTCACTGCCAAGGTGTTTCAGTGAAAGTGGTTCAAATGTTTCTTGAATGGTCTTAACATTGTAGAATAATGTATGTACACATATGTATACACAAATACATGTATATTGTAGCAGCTTTATATTAGAATATAGATATACACATGTATCTACACACAGACACAACAAAGTCATTAAAACTACAAGAGATAAATAATGAAAAGGAAGAAGGTAGAGTTAACTAGACATGTCATAATCATACTAGAAAAGGAAAAGATAGGGTGTACTGAGGAAAAGATAGGGTGTACTGAGCTCTGGGTCCCTGGTTCTGAAGAAGGAAGGGCAGTGAATTACATGAGTCTCATTCTGGAGTAAGTGACTCTGTATTGTTTCGCACTGGTTACAAATAGCCTTTCACCCAATTTTGAACTCACTGATTTTAAACAATGATATTGTTTATGTCAACAAAGAAGTTCATTGAGCAGAAGAGTGAATGTCTTCAAGGCGAAACTGAGAACAACATGGAAGTCACTAGATGGATTTCATCAATGTCATCCTAAGAACAATACCATATGTGATTCCTGTTATTATCTATAATGTCCATTAAAATAACACCAAATCCTGAGTTAGTGCATCTATTTTCAAGCAACGCATGTCAAAAGAGTAGAAAATACCTGGATTTGAGAGATAGGGCGTTTCTTGTGAGGTATATCCAACAATTCCCACCTTTTCACCACCAATGGAAATAGCTTTATATGGAGCATAAAGTCCTGATATTTGAGATGCTAGCGGCCCCTTTGCTTTAATGTTTGCACTCAGAATTGGAAATGTGGCGTTTTTGAGGAGTGGATCAATCAGTCCTTCTACACCATTATCAAATTCATGATTTCCCAGTGCCTAGTAGAAAGAGGAAAGAGAAAAAGAATTAGGAACTCTGGAATTTCCAATAGAAGCATACCTTGAAGAGCATTACACTAGGCCAGAGGCACACAGACCTGGCTGGGCTCTGGGAGGGTAACTCCATGGCTTCTGTCCTCATGCCCATAAATCTTACTCAATGGCCCTGAGGCTTGGCTCTGGGACACTGAGCTCTCTGGCTGCTCTCCAGCCCCCACACCAGGGGAAGGAAGGTGGCCTCAAGGCTCATCAGGTCCCCTGGAGAGCTGGCTACAGGCCACTGACTTGCCAACCCCCCACTGGAAGCAGGCTAGAGGGTCTGCATGGTCTTTTCACATAAATCCCCATTTCAATGCAAGAACCCAATCATCCCAACCTCCATCTTGGGAGAACTGTCTTTCTTCTCACAGCCACTTGGTTATAATCTACTATGTCCCCATAATTGTTTCCTCACAAGAGCTCCATAGTCCTCAGTGGAGAAAGAAGATTCACAAAGGCAAGCAGGAGATGGCACTGTCTTACAGTGTGTCATCTGTTTCTTCTTTTGGGACCACCCTGTGTTTCATTCCCGGCTGTGTCACAGGTGACGAAATGATCACATGACTCTGGGGGTTCTGGATACCTCCTGAGCAAAGGGCTTGGTGAGACCTGGCATGGGTTCTGCCTCCATCTCCTTTTCTGTCTCCCATCCCTCACTGCTCTGGGAGTGACCACTGGGTGGGTACAAAATAATCAGCTCTGACTTCAGCAGCTCCTTCTGACAAAACATGACACATCATTCACTTCCCTGAAGAACCTTCCATCCTCTCTCCATGACCCTCTGAATAGTCCCGTCTCCTTAAAGCTCTATCTCCCTGCTGCTATCTCCCCCTGCTAGACCTAGCTCCCTACTGCTCAGGCTGCCGAGGCTGATTCCCTGAGTACTTAAATGTGTGTTTCCAACTTGCTCAACAGCTTTACTTCGCAGGTCAATTTGGAGCAGGCTTGAACGTGCTGACTGGTGGCCCTCCATAAATTAATGTTACCCCGCCCCCCATATTGTCTTATGGACCCACCCGCTGCTTCCTTATTAGCACTTCCTTCACCCTAAGGGCATGTCTACTTGTTGGGGTGGTGTGGGGGGTGGGGTATGTGGGGTGGGGGGTGGGGGGGGCAGGCCCTGGCCAGGCCAGACCCAGTTCTCTCGGGCTGCCCCCTGCCCTCCCCTCCCAGGTAGGCATGCCCTGATCATCTGGGCTCAAAGGAGAAGGTGCATGATGTTTCCCCTGTGCATATGCTTGTCCAGAGAGAGCAACACGATACTACTTCTGCATTCGCCCTTCCCCCATCCATCTCTGAGGATCTAACCATTTTTAAATCTATTTGCTATTTACTTCTAATTGCTTCCATCTTAAAGGCTGATCTAGACTTAAATATTCTCTCTGTTTTGGGTGACTGTCACCTTTTTTCTCTTCTATTCTTGGAACTTCATGTTTTCTTTTTATGGGGAAATAAGTCTCCCTTATCAGATGATATTAACTATCTTACTTAATGGGCTTATAATTCCTGAAAGCTTATCCAACTGTCAGTCACAGGGCATTTTATTGACGGCATTTTACTGTGGGTATTCAGCAAACATGGACTGCTATATTTTTCATATGTTTGTTCTGTGGTTCATGCCTCCTCCCCCAACTTGAGTGCAACCCCTGAAAGTGTTGATTTTGGCCATCTTTTCACCTCTCTGTCCCCTTGGGGGCACAGGTCCTGATCTGGGTGCTTAGGCTGCTGTGTGGTCTCACTGAATGGTCTCATTCATATTTGCACCTTCAACTCCAAACATAACATTTGCTGCCCTGACTTTTCTCCTGACCTCTAGATCTAATGTCTAACTGCTACATGAACATTTCCTCCCAACATCTCAAAAGCACCCCAAACCTATTTTGTGCTCAAAATAGCCCCCCAACACTCCCTCTCTTACCCAAGATACCATCATCTACCCAGGCAATAAAAGCAGTAACCCTGGAGCTGCTGGATCTCTCCCCATCACTCACTCCCTTACCTCCTACGGGCATTCCTCCCCTTGCCTAAATGCCCCATTTAGTCCATTCATTGCTGTTATCTGAGTGCAATCCTTGCTCCTGGACTATAAATTAGGAAGCAGAATCCTCCTTACTGGGCTTTTAGCTATCCACATTCTTTTCTCTGACCCATCCTAGATATACCCTATCTATGTGTGCCACCTCTATATATTGCTTCCAGAATAAGCTTTCTCATATGCACGTGAGATCTTGTCATCCCCGCTGTAAGTTCCTCCAGTGGCTGCACTGCCTTTGTGGTTAAATTCAACATCCTGAGTCCTCGGTACCTAGGTTTTGAGATCTGGCCTTATATCTCACCTCACTCCCCCAGCCAATGTCTGACATCTACTCTCTAACATGTGAGGCTACGAGGCGGGGCTGCCTCTGCTGCTTATGAGCTGTGAACAGGATGGTTTCTAACCACAGCTATTCTGGAGGGGTAGTGAATACACATAAGTTGTAATGAGAATAAACCAGCATTTAATAAACACTTGCTACACACAGCTATCACGCAAACTGTTTTGTATAACAATGTAATTTTGTGCTGTGAAGTGCGTGTTATAACTATTATCAATTTACAAAGAAAAAAATGAGATCTAGAGAAGTTAAACACATTGTTCAAGGTCACATAAATAATTAATAAGTAGTAGAAGTGGGGCTAGAACTACTGCTGTTTGACTCCAACCTTCATAATCTCTATGCTTGGGTCTAAGGGTTGAGGCTGGACATAGTGAGCATTTCAAATCAAACCCTAAAATGCTTGCAGTTTTCCTGCTCTCACTATCTCTGACCCTCTGTAGATGAGAGATAAGGATCAACTAATTGATACACAGCTAGGTAGACAGAATAGAAAAGTCCTTTTTCATGTCATGCCTGTACTAACTTATTCAACTAATGGTTTAATTACTGAAGTCTGATGGCCCTTTTCAAAGAGAAACATCCCAAGAAGTCTTCCTATCCCCTGTCTGAGCTATCTGCCCTTCCTCTGCTCTAATGGTCACGTCTGTGCAGCCCCAGCAGACGTGCACCTGCGCACTCAACCCCTCTCACCTCTGGCTCACTCCCTGGAACAGGGCAGGGATCCCCCATTGTGTGAGTACATGATGAAGCAAAGAAAGCTCTAACCAGTTTCCTGTGTGTATATACAGCATTACCTACAAACAATGCAGAAAAATTCCTTGTAAATACTCATTTTCTGCACAGACCTCTCCTGTGTCACCCCCTGCTCCTTTGCAGATATTTCAATAAATCCACCTTTTCTGTTCTTAAACATAAACACTCATTTTCTTTAGAAATGTGAATATCCATTTCCATTCCTTGACTTTCTCCACCTGTCTTTCTTCAACAGCACTTACTAGAACTTCATTATTCACAGCTTTCAGAAGAAGGACACACAGCTCACCAGCCACACCAGGCTCCTGTCATGTGGCTGGCAAATGGGGGCACACGAGAAATGTGTTATATAAATTGATTGTATTTCCATGTCAATTTTGTATTAATAACATGAAAATACCTCAGAACGATCTGCCCAAGAGAAGGACTTGGAGCAATAAGAGAACAGAACAGAGCAGGTCACCTTTCCGTGTTCCTTTACCTCTTACAGGGAGTTTATGGAAAAAACAGAAGAGATTTAAAAAATTTATAATGCAGTATCATTCCACTTTGCTTTTGGGTCCTCTGTGAAAATTTCTGTTCATGTTTCTTACATGTGCTTATAAGTCCTTGGTTGCTCTGGCACCCAGTTTCCCTTGTGTCTTTAACTGCCCATCCTGATCTGAGCTAAACTGTCACTGACCACTCATAGCTATGACCCCCACATCAGAAAGTGACTTTGTGACCCTGTCATATTCTTTTTTTTTTTTTTTAAAGATTTATTTATTTATTTATACAAGCACTGGGTACAGTCAGAAGCACGGGAGGGTGAGAGAATTCACCAGAGCCAGAGCGGGGAGCACAGCAGGCAGAAGGACGGAAGCACACTGCTGAGGGGAGCAGCGGGTACAGCAGGAGAGGTCTGCGCACCATGTGGGAACCTCCTCTGGGGCCAGGGAGCAGCCGGAGATGGAACCAATGCTGCAGAGACTGCGTGCAGCTTCGCAACCCAGTGCTCAACCGCTGCACCACCGGGGAGGCCCCCTGTCATATTCTTATGCTCGCTCTCCTTTTCCTCCTTCGCCTTCCCCCTTTCTTTGCCTTCCAAATATTTCATTTGTAATATTGGGCTCATTCATTTTTTTTTGGCTCATTCATTTGCTAATCACATTCATGCACTACTTCTATCCCTATGACAATGTTGTATAATTTTATTACAAACACTAAATTTACCAAATGCACTTTTTCTGTAATTTAAGAGTTGAGTCTAGCAAAATGACCATCAGCATCTCCAACACCAGTATCATACAAGTATAATGTGAGCATATGGTCAAGCATATGGTCTAGTATAATGTGAGCATATGGTCTAGCCTCAGCTGCTCTCCCTCACTGCTTTCTTTGTGCCGGAGATGTCTTAAATATTACTAAAAAACCCCATAAAATTTGGGTGCCATACTATCTATTTAGCCCATTGCATTATGTCTAACTACCCAAACACCTGGAATGTTACCTGACTTTTAAAGCTAAAAACACAGGGCCTCCCTGGTGGTGCAAGGAGTTAAGTGTTAGCACCATGAAGTTATCAGGAGCCACTGCAGCATGAATTCGATTCCCGGCCAGGGAGGAGACTCAGATGGTGCAGCAGACCTCTCCTGGCTCTCCTGCTGCTCCCCTCAGCAGTGTATTTCAGTACATCTGCCTGTTCTGTTCCCCACACTGTCTCTGGTGAATCCTCTCACTCTTTGCACCCCTGGCCCACACCCCAGCTCTCAAATGCATAAATAAATAAAACAAATCTTTAAAATATATATATAGCTAAAAATATGAAAAAGGACAATGGAGATTCCTTTCTTCTGTGACTCAAAACCCTGCTGTTGTTGTTAAACTCTGAGGAGTGTGGTACGATGCTTTCTAATATCTTCTGCAGGTATTGTGCAGTTAGGAGTGAGAGAAAGCTAATGTTTCTAAAGTTTGGCTTGTAATCCTGACAAATTCCATGTACAGACCAAAGTCTACCTTCCCTTCAGGGATAAGCCTTTCCTCACTTAAGGCAAACCTTCAGGTAATCATGAGGTAATCACATCTCTGATCATTTATTTCCAGTGCTTAAGCTAAATATTTAAACTAATAATCAATTACTATCTCTTGGATACCAAAGTAAATGGAAGGTACCTAGTATTCACCCAAGTTGGATGCAAACAAATGCATGATGTCACAATGCCAGGTCTCCCTACCCCTTTCTCTGTCAGGGGCAGATGCCAATTAGTTGACTGTATTCCTCTTTCCCAGTGAGTTTGGACAGAGCCTCAGAATCTTTCTTATCCTGGCCCTATAAGGAGTTATTGTAAATCAATTAGAGATGGCACTTAGATGAATTGGTTTCATGCTTGCGCTAGGATTATACGTGTATGATCTATTAACTTTTTTTTTTAAGATTTATTTATTTATATAAGAACTGAGGTACAGGTCAGAGGTGCACAGGAGGGTGAGAGAATTCACCAGAGACAGAGCAGGGAGCAGAACAGGCTGAGGGGAGCAGCAGGCAAGACAGCAATCGTCTGCTGCGCCATGTGGGTTTCTCCCTGGCCGGCCGGGATTTGAACCCGCACTGCAGAGGCTGTGGATAGCTTCACAGCGCGGCGCTCAACCGGCTGCGCCACCAGGGAGGCCCTGATCTATTAACTTTTAACAACAATGATTAACAAATGTAACGGGAGTCACTAAAAAGGCAATCTTTTCACATAAAAAGGAAAGAATCCTTCCTGACTTTTCTCTTTTAACAGTATTTGTTCTGCGAACAGAATGCCTGGAATAGTCACAGTGGCACTCTGCTGCCTGCACACTGTCCACTAAGGCCACATACCAACTTCCATGTTTTTCTTTTTCAAAGTTCTTCCCAGTAGGAGCTGCTATTTAACCATTTGTTCTCTTTACCCCAAACATATGCTCCCATTGGTATGAACTAAGTAGATAAATGGAAGAAATAATGAGCACACGTCCCAGGGTGAGAGTAAGAGAAAGAAAGCACTTGGAGGAAGAGTGCCCCACAGCCCCAGGAAGGAGGACCAAGGTCTGAGTCTTAATGCTTGTATTTATTCACGGTCTGCAGGAGGTGACAAGGAGTCAGTGTTCTCAGATGGCCTCTTGTTATTCTGGAATATTTTGTTTTTAAGGAAAAATCTCCCACTTTACAATCTCTCCTGTTACAGTGGTTTGATCACGTAATCTCTCTGTTATTAAATAATACGCATTAATTGGCCCCCATTACCCATTTAAAATGTATGAAGCATAGGGGAAATACTTGTTAAATATTTACTGAATGAATGAGTAAGCCAATAAATAATTGGTGGGGGAAGGAAAGAAGCCACAGAAACTTAATTTACAAGACTGGGATTACTGTTATTCAGCCCCCGGGCCAGTTGCCATCAGTGGCCTCTTCTCTGACTGCACAAGTGTCATCATGTCCATGTGCACTGTCTGGGAAAAAAGATAACAAGACACAGTATCTCACTTTATCTCAAAAAGGTAAAGGGTTGTGTCTTGAAAGCTTCTAATGATGGATGTAGCAGCTACAGAATGATCATTTCAGCAGGCAACTGGTTCCTAAAAGGCCAGGAAGTAGTAAAGTCCTGAAGCTGAAGGGGCCTCAGAGGCCAAGAACCTCTTAGGCGTTGACACGCAGCTGCATTCTCAGCTGAGCAACGTGCCCTCAAATAAAGTTCTCAGGAGGTCACAGTGGACCAGATCTGAGAAGCACCACATACAGCATCCCTAGTGAGCTTGCAGCAGAATTTTTAATGCAATGGTTGCCAGAAAATTTAGACTTTTTCCCAAATTGTGAAATGACTCCTGTCTTCTCCATTTCAGACTGGCTCAGCTTGAAACCACACAAGGGGGGGAGGGGTTCACAGATACTGAAAACGCACCAGCCCTGAAGAGGGCCCGAGGCCTGCCCCCTTGTCCATTTCCTGTCTCAGGAGATAGCATAGGGTGCTGACTGGTGTGATTTGGTGCTTGCTGCCCTTTCCTCCCACACCCTTCGTGTGGCCCCTGACTCCTCATTTGGAGGCCACCGAGTCCCCTGTCAGGCTGAGCCCCTGCAGAGGACACTTAACCCCGGTAAGCTGTGAGAAACTTGTGAGGATTCATGTAGGAAAGGAACCCGCACAATCAGAGGGAAATGCAGAGAAGCACCGAGCACCAGACAGCCTCCCCTTCTCCGGGGTCCTCCTCTGACAGCCAAGAAGCCATCAAGTTGCTCTTGTTCTGGTGCCATCCCTCATGTGGTCTTCTCCTCCACCCTCCCACTGCTCCCTCTGCCTCATCACTTCTCTCCCAGACCCTTCCAGAGTCTTCCAGCCTGTGGGTTGGCCACCATACTTACACAACTTCCACCCTCTCCCGCAGGCCACCAGCCTACACACACCCAGCCCACTGTGTCTGGCCCTTGCTTTGGGATCTCCAGAGCTTTCCACTTCCCACGGGAATCACAGATCTGATTCCCGGGATGCCTTACAAGACCCTCCTGGATCTCCCTGAGCTGCTTCTTTTCTGCAAAACTGTACCTCAGGTCCAGGAACACCAAACGTTCCACATGATTTATTTATTTATTTTTTGATAGGTAAATGATACCATTTCTTTATTTTTTTCTTTTTTAAAGTTATATGTCATTTGTTCTTTTAAAATCAATATTTTAGAAAATTTGGAAATTATTGAAAAACACAAAAGAAAAATAATAATTACGTATATATTGCTAGGCATCTTCACACATTTTTCCTTGAGTCCTCCAAACAACAGCATGAAGTACAATAGTTAATTTTGTCCCCACCACAGTTACACAGTTATTTCCCCTACAGGTCATAGAGGTTAAGTGAGTTGCCTATATCACACAGCTAATGAGAGAGAGTGCTGGCCACCAAGTCAGGTTTTTTGACCTTCAGACTCAAGCTTTCCCCACTAGAGTTATTGTCCCTAGAGGGATGGGAGAGGACAGAAGTGCACTCTATATACAT